TTGCTCTGAGTAAGCGTTAGCTAATCTTGTGATGACATAATTGTTTTCCCCTTGTGCTCTGCTTGCCAGGCACACACAAGCCAACCTGGGAAGATCAAGGAGAGTTTCAGGAAGGAGAAAAATCCCTGAGAACTTAGGCAGAAAGGGAGGGAAAGACCTCTGGGGCCAAAGGAACAGCATGTGTGAAGGTACAGGGTCAGTGGGACCGGAGAGTTAGAAAGTGGGCAAGGGTTAGAAGAGGGTGTTTTATGCAGATTTGATGATGTGTTCTAGTGAAGAATCCAAGACTGGAGAGAGAAGTGGGAGCCTGGAGGGTGGGGAGGAAAGCGAATTAGTCAGCAAACCCCACAGCCTGCCCTGCCCTGGGAGTCCATCCCGGAAGTGGGTTTGAAGGTTTTCCAGGTGAACAAATTAGGTCATAATGTGACAAGGTGTTGACTAGCTGATGGAGCAGCTGAGTGGAAGCCAGGGAGCAAGGTTGAATGGCAGCGTGGGTCACTGCTTCAGGAAGGCTGGCACCCCCCCAAGCACAGCTTGTTCTTGCTGCTACCAGGTAGCCTGCCTGGTGGGGCATGCCTGAGCCCCGTGGGATTATGGGATCTCATTTTGTTTTCCCTACACCTTGGGTCCCAGGTCTGGCAGCGTCCTCTTGCTCCCTTCTCTGCTGCTTGCTCTCCTGGACCCAGGAGGACCCGGCTTAGTGGAAAGCCTGTTTCCTCAGCATCTCTTCCTCCCTGAGCCCTGGAAGTCTTTCATTTGTCCAGAAAGACAGGAAGCCTCTGCTGCTCTGTCTGTCCAGGAAATTGCCCAGGACTGGCCTCTGTCCCTGGCACCCAGCCAGCTTAGGATTTGGCCAGCTCAGTGCCCACTAAGTAGGCAGTGGATGATGGACCTTCCCCAGGCTTGAGTGGGTGACATTTCAGTTCAATTCCCCCACCCAGCTGGAGGAGAATGAAGAAACACTCTGGGCCTCTTCAAACATCAGGACACCCACGGGGTGGTGCTTTCTGGGAAGCTGCCTGGTGACAAGAAGAATGAAGTTTAATTCAGCAAGTTTTCATTGGTTGGGTGTGCTGGGGGCAACCAGAGGTGCTTCAGGGCTTGGTCCTACCAAGTGCATGGGACTCCAGGTCCTATAATGGTAAATCCCTAACTTGGGCCTCTCCATGCCCTCTCCCCACGCCTCATTGCTAATAGTAGTCTCCAGGTATGTACCACTTTTTACAGTTTGTAGAGAGTTCTCACATCCAATTCCATCAGTTCCTGAACCATTGCACAGACTAGGAAACTGAGGCCAAGAGGAGAAGACTAAGCCTGGGTCCTCAACTTGTCAACAGCAGTGCTGGGACTAGAAACACAGCCAGCAGACTGGCCTTGGTCTCTGTGTGGATAGCACACTATCAAATCTTGGTCACCCTGTGCCTTGAACCATGGGTGGTCATTAAAAATATGAGCAGGGACCCAAGGAAGTGGGACTTTTTCGTTCCCATCCAAGACAGACCCACTCTTCACAGAGGTCTCTCATCTTTTGTGATCCAGAAATGTGGAGTGGGTGGGGTCAACTGACTGTGTCAATTGGCTTCCACAGAAGGAAGTAAGGACGTAGAGATCAGCTCAGGCCACCCAGTGGGTCAAGGACCCAGCAGATGACTGCTCAGTGCTGTGACAAGGGCAATGGGCACTGATAGATAGCATCATTGTAATGTTTTTCAAAGTATAACTTGGTCTTGGCTTACTGTATACCAGATGCTAACAGCTCTGCGTTTATTGCCTTGCATCAAAATCACCTCAGCAGTCAGTATTGTTAACCTGGGGCTTCTTGGGGTGGGACCTAGGCACAGCACAGGGGCCCTTGCTTCTGTTAAGGCACTACAATCACCATCCTGAAATTCTCAGAACTTTTTTTTTTGTAAATAAGGAGCCCAATGTTTGCATTTTGCACTGAGCCCTGTAAATTGTGCAAGTGGTCATTGTTATCCCTGCTTCTCAGGAGAGGATGCAGAAGTGTGGGGTGGTCATGAAGCGGCATGCCCAAGAGCACAGACCTGGTGGCTGCTGTTAGGCTCAAACCCCAAAGCCCATGCACTTAGGGGTAGAAAGACGCTGACCCAGAGCAAACAGAGGGAACAGTAAGTACCGTGCACAGATCCCACTGGCACTTGTCTATGGCCAGACCAGGGAGGCACTCCACATCTCCCAGCCTCTGACCCCCTTTGTGGAACAGAGCTCCTGCCTGCCTCTTGGCAGAGGGTGAAGCTGGAGTGAGCTGAGGTGTACCCAGTTGCTTCACACACCATGAAGCTCCTCAGATCAAAGACTTGGCAATGGCTGCTGACTCAGCTTGCAGCGGCTGTTGCAGCCTTCTCTGAAAGATTCAAAAACACTAATTAAAAATAAACTTCCCCACCTGATGCAGCCACACAGCATCAAGACTCCCAGTGGTTTCCCACCCCAAGAAGAGACCCTTACCTGACAGTGTAGGACGCCACCCCCTGTGGGGAGCATGCAGCTGGTTGTGTGGGGGGGGGGGTTGCAGCTTTCCACCCATCAGTGTTATCTCTCACTGGACCAAGGTGGGGAGGGCACTGCCCATCAGTCTGCCTTCAGTTGGACACTTTCCAAAAAGCTCTGCTGGATGTAATGAGAGCTCCTGTCTGTGGGAAGGCAGCTCCGTCGGGTTCAGATGCCCCAGGCGCACTCAGAATGGATTCTGGCACCTCAGCAAAGAGGCAGACAACTGGCGCCTGGGAGGAGCCCCAGAAAGCTGCTCCCAAATCTTCAGATTTGGAGAGATCCTAAGAAGGCTGTGGCATAGGAAACTGCCTGGAAAAGGCGCCAGGAGTATTCCTGTGTTTTTGGAGCATGCTAAGATTTAAAGAGCACTGATCAAAGTTCTGTCAGTCCCCAAGAGCTCAGGAGGTTGGTGGCATCAACCCATTTTACAGATGAGGGAGCTGAGAATTGAAAGAGCCTAAAGCAAGGATCAGATCCCAAGTCTAATATCTCAAAAGACCAGCTGGCTTTGTACTCAGAGCTCCTGGGAACTAATTGGTGTGCTGTCGGAGTTCAGGATTCAGATTCATGGAATCAGAACCCCTGGAGTGTTAGAGTTCCCCAGGGGATTGATTGCCACTTGCTCAGAGCAGGCGGGAGGTGAAACTGGGTTTCTCTGCTGCTAGTGGTTGGACCTCTCCTCATTCTCCAGGGATGTCCCAACAGGAATAGGCTCACAGCCTGGGGAGGGCAGCACCCCATCTTCTAGTCAGTCCTCCCTTGCTGCCTAGGCTTGTAGGAATGGCTCAGAGCAGAAAGTTCTACTGCCCTTCCTGAGCATCTCCATGTCAGGAGTAGTCCTGCAACCTCAGGTGGTCCCCCCTGCCAGCTTGCTCCTCCCTTTCAACCACATCTTGATTCTGTCCCCTCAGTCCTCATCTCCATCTGCCCAGTTCCCATCACTCCAAGCAAGCATCACAATGATTAGCTGATTTTCTTCTTTTGGGAGGGATGTTTTTAGTCATACACAAGTCAATAAACATCTCTCTTTCCCTCCTTTTTTTACCCAAGCAGCCAGGCTGGTAATCTTGCTTTCCCATTTATGCCTTATCTTCGACATTGTTCTGTATCAGTTCTTTCTTTCTTACATCTGTATTCCCTCAACACAGATTTTTAAGCCCTCTTCTGAAAGTCAAGTTCAAATCACATGTCTTCTTCTTTGATCTGCCCCTCTCTCCACTTGCCCAGTGTCTGCGGACACAGGGACCCTAAGGATGGGAGGCTCGTGTCCAATTCTTCAGAGCTACTTCTCTGCTCACACCCGGGTACAATGGGGTAAGAATCTTGGTTTATTGCTCTCACCAGAGGTGGAGAGGCAAGATCAGATCCCAGCTGGACCCCTTGTGTGCAGGCGCTAGTGTGTGGGCACTTTAGTTAAACCTGAGAGCCATCTTTCCAGAAGGTGAGTCACAAGCCTCCACTGGTTTCACAGTCCAACTCAAGCACAGTGGCTTCTGTCCTTCCGCAGCTGCAAGTTTATTTGCTTCCTCCTCTGAAGAGGTGAAATCAGGTGTTGTTGGAGCAGGAAGCTGAGTGTAGAGGGAGACAGGCCTGAGGGCAGGGGCTGTGTGGTGGGTGCTGACAGACTGACGTCTGTCTGTGTGGAGCAGACACACCTGAGTCTGCATGGGGCTCAGCTGGCCTGTCACTTGGCTCCGGAGACCCTCAGACAGTTGCTGACCAGAGGAGAGAACTGTACCCTCAGATTCAGCTGAACTGGGCTTGTTCCCCCACTACTTGCTAGGAGATCTAACTCGGTGAGTCATTTAGGGTTTTGGTGACTTGAGTTCCTCGTGTGGAAAATGGGGATTAAAAATAAAGTGTCTACAGTTTGCTGTGAGCATTAAATGAGATAACAGAGGTGGAATGCTTTGATAATGGCAAAACACTGACCAAGTTTACCAACAGCTGCTCTGCATTGAGTTAAGGTGGAGAAATTGTCTCACTTCTAGTCCTGGACTAGCAAATAGAGGCCCTGTTAGTATACCTCTTCCAGCCTCAGTTTCCCCTCCTGGAGAGGGGACATGCCTGCCTCCAAGGAACTGGGGACTGAAATTGAATTGACAATGTTCTTGTCCTTCCTGCAGGACCCCATACCACCTGTCCGCCCCACAGAGGAGGGAGCTCCAGCCTGCTTTCTACCAGCCTCTGATGTGTGCACCTCCTGGACCAGCAGATCTTGGCAGAGGCTGCCCCCTAAAGTTCCTGCTGCCACTTGTCTGGTCCTGCCTTCTGGAAAGCATGACCCCACAGGATTCCAGGACGAATCATAGACCCTGAGCCCCACAACTGCTACCGGAGCCCCGGGGCTCACTCACAACTCCTCTCCCATCCCAGCCATGCCCTCAGAAGCCACGGCCCCAGCTGGATGAGGCCCTTGCCACCCACCAAGCTTCCTTCACTGCCCCCACAACCTCCCATGTCTGGCAGCTGTAGCAGAGTGTAGCATGTCTGTAACCCAGATCCAAATTGAAGAGGTAGCTGAGGAAGAGGGGCCGGCAGGAGCGACCGCACCTCCTGATGACCACCTCCGGAGTCTGAAGGCCCTCACGGAGAAGCTGAAGCTGGACACCCGTAGGCCCTCCTATCTGGAGTGGCAAGCCAGGCTGGAAGAGCATACGTGGCCGTCCCCAAGGCCGGCTGTGGAGCAGGAGGCCAGCTTGGAGCAAGGAGAGCATGGAGGTGGGGACCCCTTGCTGTCCCTGAGGGAACCCAGAGAGCATCCCCCACCTGCTGGCAGTGCCAGCCAGGGAGACAGGCCGCTGTCCACGGGCAAGCTGGAAGGCTTCCAAAGCATTGATGAGGCACTAACCTGGCTCAGGAAGGAACTGGTGAGTGGGCCCCCCTTTGGAGTTGGGAGTAATTCTTAGAAAGGAGAGGATGCTATGTTCTGTCAATCTTTCTCTGTCTCTCTTTCTCTTCTCCTTCTTTTTGTCTCTCCTCCCCCACCATGTGTCATCCTCCTATCTCTAACCCACCCGTATTGCACATCTGTAAACTTTCTATTAGAGAAAGGACAGGTCTCATTTCTAAGTGGTTATGATTGACCCATGTCAATCATCTCCTAATCACAGACATGGAGGAACCTGAGCCCACCCTTCCCCCGCCTGCATCAGTCCCATATTCTTATTCCTGGACTGCTAGGGGACTCCTGGTGTTTGCCTGCCCTCCCTTTCCTCTGAAGCCCCCTCCCTTGCCATCTGCCCCAGCTGTATGCAGTGCCTGGGACCAGTGACTCAGCAAGTAAGTGACCGCTCTCCTTGCACTGGGTATTGGTGCTGGACTAGATAGCAGGACTCCATGGGGGACCAATTTCAGGAGGGACTCAGACTGGGGATTGTAGCTGGGCAGGGGAGTACTGGGAGTATTGAGGCACAACGAGGAAAATGCTGTATTAATAATTCGAGCTGTACAGAAGCTGCCAGGGGACGCATGACTGATCACATCTGGCTGAAGGCGTTGGCCAGGAGGCTGAGTCTGCCCAGAACCCAGAGCAGGGTGGGGCAATCAAGGTGGAATGAGTGTGAGCAAAGGGCATGCTGTATGGAGCTGGACAGAGTAGCTCAACCCTTTTTCTGCCCATGGCAAACCAGGAACCTCTCTTACCATGCACTGAATCTCAGCCTGAGGGAAAAGGGAATAGCTGCATGGATCTAAGTGCTTTGTCCCACCCTCTCTCAGGAGACAGTCTCAGCCAGGAATGCAGCTAAGCCTCCCCAAGTTCCCATCCATTACCTGAGGCCCAGGTTACCACTGTCCCTCAGGTGGCAGGGAGCAGTAGTCAAGGCTCTGTCTTCCAGAGCCAAAGTAACTCTTGGGGCAGCAGGAACCACTTGGATTATTTTGCAGAATCCCAAACAACTAATCCCTAGTGGGGGCCTGGAATTCTTAGTAAACTGAAAAAAGCACTGGGGTTCAGGGTTCAGGAACCCAGGAATCTGATCAATAGGAAACATCTTTGGGTTTTAATCCTTGGTGTTGAGACTGCTTCTCAAAACACCAGTCTACTATGCATGGCATTAGTCATGGAGTGTGTGCATACTGTTGGTGTTCGTGGAAGACAGGGCACCTGTGGATTCTTGCTCTGTGGTCACAGGGTGCTCATGGGGTGTACAAAGTGGAGAGATGGACTTACAGAGCCCCAGGACAGACCCTGAAAGCTGCTCTTTGAATTCCTGAGCCTAAGATGCTTTGATCTGTTTTCATAAAGAGGAACAAAAAATATTCCCATTAATCAAGGATGCAATTTGTTGGTTTCAGGTTCATTTGATATTTTATTGCTTCTAAGAGCAGAGCTATTTACTTTCTAAATAAGTTCACATTTCTTGTGGGCCCCCCTTTGGAGTTGGAAATAGGGAAGGAATCCTTCTCCAAGAGTAAACTAGTGGGGACTGCCCTAGAATCTGCCCCAATCATCCTTTAAACAAAGAGGTGCCTTGAGGACCTTTTAAAACTCCCAAAGCCTCATCACACTCCAGACCAATCAAATGAGTGTCTAGGAGAAGGGGGCAGTGAGAAGCAGCATCCATATTCTGTAAAGCTCCCGTGGGCTTCCAGCATGCAGCCTGAGATCTACAGACATGCTCAATTCTTTTGCCAGGACCTGCTGGCCAAGAGCAGGAAGGCAGGCCAGGTGCCGGAGCAGCTGTGGGTAATGTGGAGAGTGGGATCCCGTAGGGGTAGTGTGGCATTCATTGTCAGGATGAATTTGGCTGCCAAAGGCTGTCTGAAATGAGCAAAGGAAATATTAGCATTAATAACAGTGCCTTATAGTTGAATAACACATTCCAGTCTCCAGGCATTTCTCTGTGCTACCAGGGATACGTAATATAATAATACCTGTGTCACTGGGTGCTTACCTGGTGCCAGGCACTTCCCTTGCATAACTCACCTCTTCTAATTGTCACATGACATCACCTTCCCACTATCCTCATTTTCAGGAAGAAGAAATAAGTTAGTAATGAGAAAGCTGACATTTGAACCCTGGCCTGCCAGGTTGCTTTGCCAACACTCTTCTTAGCCTCCATAGTACACAGCACAAAGGCAACACATGTCCCTAAATCAGTGAATTCACCAAGACCTCAGCAGTCCACAGAACATGTGGGATGGGACAGAGGAAAGAGATATTGAAGAGAATTCCAGCTCTCGTTCTCTCTTTGATTCTTACCACATTCCTGTGCACCTGTGGTTATTATCTCCATTTTACAAATGAGTAAACCAAGGCTCTGGAAGCCATGTGACCCACCTAGGATGAAATGACTAGTAAGTGACAGAGCCAGGACTCAAACTCAGACTTCCCCATTGGGAGTAAGATCTGTGGAAAGGTGAGGCTGGTGAGGCTGCAGACTGCAGAGGGCACAGTGGGGCATGCTGACAGACCAGTGACTCCCAAACTCTAAGTATATATAGATGCCCACACCCCCCCAGGTCTCTTGTGCAATGAAGATTCTGGTTCCATGATTCTGAGAGGGGGTCCATGATAGGGAATTTCTAACAAGCTTTAAGGTAACACCATGCATTATACCCTGTATCACACTTTGAGTGTCAAACAATGAAAGGAGGTCCAGACTGGGGCCAAGGGAACAAGTATGGGATCTCAGAGGTCAGACTCAGGGGTTCCCAAGCTTGCACTCCAAACTCTGTCCCTGCCATTACTGCCCCATGTGGCCTGGGACTCAGGCAGAGAAGGAGTTCAAAGCATCTCAAACTGGACCACATTGGTGCAGAAGATGTTCTCCCTGAGGCCAGCAGCAGCACCAAAGTTGACTGGTAGGTAGTGGACTCCTGACACACAGTTCCTTGCAGGTCAGAGGCTAACTATCAACAAAGGCAACTTGTAAAATCCTTATGAGTTAGAAGCAGCTCCTGTTTGAACACATCCTCTTGTTTTCAAGTCCCAGTTGAAACAAAGCTTCATGCCATTGCTTTTCTGATTTAACCTGTGTTAACCATCAAGGTTCCTTTTAAGAAGAACGTATTTTGTTTTTTGGAGTTATTTTACCCAGTGAAAGTGGTTTGCATAAGCTTTACTATGCTATATTTATTTAAACCCAAAATCAAGTTTTTTCTACACCTGGGCAGGCCGATCCCACCTGCCCATTTGTCAGACTCAGGTGCAGATTTGTCTTTTCTTTCAGTCGGTCATGTAGGGCTTTTCTCTACACCATGCCAAACACCCAACTCAGTAGAAGCTTGGATCCCAGGCGAGGGCAGTTACTTGAATGTTGCCCTGCTCAGAGGCAGGCTGTGCTGGGGCTGGGAGGACTGTTTGCCCTTCCTCTGCCTCTCCAAAGCTAACTGAGAGGACCACCTGATCTTGACAGGTTTCCAAAGCACAGACTTTCCCTTCTGTCTTTCACTGCAAGAATGACAGTTGCTTCTGACACTCCCAGAGCCTGCAGGTAGAGTAGGTTTTCCTTTAGCTCATGCACTGGGGATGTGAGGAAGGTGGAGATCGTCCAAGTCTGTCAGGGTATTTCTCCAGCTAAGACTTGATTTTGGCTCTGAGTAGATTCAGAGACTGGGGGGCCACCCAGCTGAGGTAGGTGGCACAGCTGCCTCTGACTCCTTTAGCCATGCTGTTCCAGAGACACCCACTCAGGATCTGGTGAAGGGGCCATTGTGTACCGCTCCTGGCTCCAGGCTGCTCTGGTTACCAAAAGGTCACCACCTCCAGCTTTCCTCTTTCCAGGTGGCCTCGGAAGGCGGCTGACTGGCCTGGTTTGAGGTGGAGGCACTGCCTCAGGAAGGGAGGAAGTAGGAAGGGCATGACATGGAGCCGTGGGAGCTTGTCACACCCTCTAGCTGAGTGTAGAATTTAGAACATCTCACAAACACCAGGGCCAGGCTCTGGTCAAGGAGCCAGCAGTCAGTGGTCAGCATGAGGGAAGAAAGATCCTCTTTTCTCTTTTGTCTCTGCAGTTGTGCTCAGAAGTTGGCCTTGCCAACCTGGGAGATAAAGAACAGGAACAAGTAAGTCCCCATTCAGCCTGCGGGGCCAAAGCCCCACACAACACATCTTGGCTTCCTAATGAGAATCCCTGGATGCCAGCCATGGACATTTTTCACGCAGGTGTTTGATCCCTGCAGACGGAGCCCTGGAGAAGGTGTTTATACTTGTTAGAAAAAGAGAAGAGAAGCCTGAAAGGTGAAAATCAGGCAGGGCCTGCACGGTGGAAGCCTGGAGACCTGGGCTCAGCTGGTGCACAGTGGCCTTGGCCTGGCCACCAGCTAGAGCCCTCGCTCAGTGGAGCCTCTTGTGCCCCAGCTGCCTGCTTGGCAAGCACATGTCTCTGGTGAGCTCTGCACAACCCACTGAGGCTCAAATTATCCATACCTGCTGAATGGCCGGCCAGATGACAGTCATACTCACTCATGAGGAGATGGCAGTGAGGGTTGTGGTGGCACAGCCGTGGTAACCCCTCCTAGCTAAGAAGCTCTGGGGTCACAGGCACTTTCACACACACAGTGACCCTGAGAAATCTTGGACGTGTTTACTCTCCCATTTTACAGAGGAGAAGATGGAGTCTCAACGATTATAGACCTGAGGGACAGAGAGGTTAAGTGACTTACCCAATACAAGGATGTGCTTAAACCAAGATAGAGAGCAGCCTACCCACCTATTCAAGACATGTCACTAGGTCAAGTCAATGGGCCACATTCGTCGTGCCAGGTGCTGGTGACTCACACTGAGATTGGTAGGATCACGTTTCTAGATCAGCCTGGACAAAAAGCGAGACCCTTTCTCCAAAATAACCAGAGCAAAAAGGATTGGAGGCTCAAGTGGTAGAGCACCTGCCTAGCAAGCAGGAATCCCTGAGTCTAAACCCCA